GGTAGCAGCAGCAGCAGCAGCAGCAGGTTCTTTCCCCGCCTCTACATGCAAGGCAGAGATGCCGGGGGGGGCCCCCCGAGCAACCGCAGCTAGCATGAGGCTGAGGAGGCCGTTGGCTGTGCGCAGCGCAGCAGCAAACAGCCGCTCCAGGTACTGACACACAGCAGCAGCAGAGGGTCTCTCGTGCTGCTGCCACAGCAGCAGGGGGCCCCCAAACGTCAGACGGCACCCACCCCCCACACCAACACCCCGCATATGAGGGGGGCCCCCAGGGGCCCTTGCTGCACCGCTGCTGCTGCTGCTGCTGCTGCTGCTGCTGCTGCTGAGGGGAGAAGAAGCGGATATAGAGAGGTAGTGCAGGGATGGGCCGCCGCCCCATGAGACAGTCGGCTCAGAACCCTCTGCAGCGTCGCTGCTTCGCCTGTTGCTGCTGCTGTTGCTGCTGCTGCTGCTGCTGCTGCTGCCTCCCCGCTGTCTTTGGCTGCTGCTGGGGCCCTTTGACCCCTTCTGCTGCAGACACCTGAAAAGCTGCGTCAGCCACAGCTCGGCTGCATGCCGTGTGAGTTGAGCAGCAACGCGACCTGCTGCATCACTGCTGCTGCAGCTGTTGCTGCTGCTGCTGCAGCTGCTGCTGCTGCTGCTGCTGCTGTCAGCGTCAGCTGCTGCAGCAGCTGCTTCTTGGGCCCCTAGCGGCCCCCACAACTCCCCATTGCCTCGCCAGAGGGTCTCGTGCAGCTGCTGCATGCGGTGCTGCAGCGGGATCCACAGCGACGGCCGCTGCAGCAGCTCGATGCATGCACATGCTTCCCCGGTTGCTGCTGCTGCTGCTGCTGCTGCTGCTCCCGTGGGTAGACCCACAAACCTCGGGTTGCATAACACCCCCAGGGTTAAACCCGGTGCTGCATGCAGCTGCTGCCTGGGGGCCCCCCCCAGGGGCCCCTTGCTGCTGCAGGGGCCCCAAGCCTGGCAGGCGAATGCGCTGCGCGGCGGAGGAGCTGCTGCTGCTGCTGCAGCCCCGTGGCTGCTGCTGCTGCTGCTGCTTTTGTTGTTGCTGCTGCTGCATGCGGCTGTGCTGCAGCACGCTGCAGAGGAGACAGAAGGAGACTGGTGGTTGCTGCTGAGGGCCCCCCGCAGCTGCTGCTCCGTGGCGTCAAGCAGACACCGCAGCAGCGGCCAGAAGCTGCTGCAATGATGCGAGACGAGCCGAGCGCATGCATCCTGCAGCAGAGCTGAGGGTTCTACATCTTCTTCTCTCTCTCCCTGTCTCTGCCTCTGCTGCTGCTGCTGCTGCTGCAGCTGCTGCTGCTGCTGCTGCTGCTGCTGCAGTCGGTGCGGCCGAGCTCCGCCTCGGCTCAGCTCGCCCCAGGCGCTGCTCTCTGCGCTCCCTGCAGCAATGTCAGCAGCACCCACCAACTGGAAGCGGCAGGGGGCCCCCCCAAAGGTTTCTAGTAGTGGGGGCCCCCCCGTCAGCACTTCTGCGTCAGCAGCAGCAGCAGCAGCAGCAGCAGCAGCAAAGGATTCGGGGGCCCCAGGGGGGGCCTCCTCCAGTTGAACCTGACAGCCCGGCAGCAGTTCGTGCTGCTTGCTGGACCCTCTTAATGCTACTGCTGCAGCAGCAGTACCCTGGGGGCCCCCAAGGGGCCCCCCGAGGGGCCCCCCAAGGGGCCCCCCAGGGCGGTGGGGGCCCCTGGTCTCGTGCAGCAGCCTGTTGACGATGAGGTGACCTGTTTTGGGGCCCTCGAGGACCTGCAGCAATGCATGCGCAAAGGGGTATTCTTGCTGCGGCCGGGGGCAGCTGAGAGCCAGCAGCAGCTGCTGCAGCAGACGCGAGGGGGCCCCCTGCAGCAGCAGAAGGAGGTTGTCTGGTGTTGCTGCTGCTAGGAAGCTGCTGCAGCCTTTCTTAAGCAACCAGGAGGCCCCCTGGGCGTCGAATAGGGCCCCAGCTAGATGCAGGGGGGGCCCCCCTCCTTGCTGCTGAATGCATGCGCTGCAGCAGCAAAGCACAGCAGCAGGAGGAGCAGCATGAAAGTAATAAAGAAATATATTTATTAGTCGAGGAGACAGACGAAACAGCAGCTGCATGCCCCCCCCTCTTGCTGCTGGATGCTGAGGGCTCAGCAGCAGCCGCAGCAGACACCACACGGTGTACATACACTCCGCGCGCTGCTGCCACTGCTGCTGCTGCTGCACGCTCGCATCAACTAATAACATATACGGATCCTCATACACACCAATACTACTGCTGCTGCTGCTGCTGCTGCTGCTGCTGTTGCTGCTGCTGCATGCAGAACTCTCCGAGCTGCAAGTAGATGATGAAGAGGTATAGTGCAGGATAGGCAGTGAGCCCCACGAACCTAGAACACCCTGCTGCTGCTGCTGCTGCTGCTGCTGCTGCTGCTGCTGCTGCTGCTTTCGTTGCTGTTGTTGTTGCTGCTGCTGCTGCTGCCAGACACGCTGCTGATGCTCCAGTATAGCTAGCGCCGCATGCACAGCAGCAGCACCGCCAGCAGCAGCAACTGCGTGGGCCCCTGATAGAGGTTGTTCGTATGCAGCAAAGGCCCCCAGCTGTCTCCGTCTCTCTTCTGTCTCCTTTTTTGTTGTGTTGCTGCTCAGCAGCAGCCCCTCTGTCTCTGCCCGCATGCAGAGTCGATGCACCGCCTCACACGTCAGCTGCAGCAGCTCCTCTAGCGAGAACTTGCTGCTGCTGCTAGTGCTGCTGCTGCTGCTGCTGCTGCTGCTGCTGCTGCTGTTTGGGGCGTTTGAGAGAACAGCTCTGCCCCTGAGCTCGTCAACGAAGCCCGCAGAGAAAGCGGGAGAAGGAGGAGACAGCAGCACAGCCCCACCTCTTGCATGCGCCATCAGCAGCAGCTGCTGCTGCCGCAGCTGCAGCGCGGGGGGCCCCGGTGGGGGGGGCGGCAGCAGGATGCTGCAGAGCCGCTGGCCGTTTATATACATAACGAGGGTTTCTTCTGGCTGCTGCATGCGTTCCAGTAGGTTGTCTTTTGCTGCTGCTGCTGCTGCTGTTCCTCCTGTTGCTGCTGTTGCTGCTGCTGCTGTTGTTGCTGCTGCTGCTGCTGCGTCGCTCAGCCCAGCCTGAGCAGAACCACGATCCAGCAGCAGCTCTAGGGTGAGGGTGCGCTCCTCTGGCATCGCGAAGACAGCAACAGCAGCAGCAGGAGCAGCAGGAGCAGCAGCAGCAGCAGCAGCAGCTGTCTCCTTTTCTGTCTCCTTATCTTCTGTGTCTGGGGCCCCTCGCCCCCGCCTGAGGCCCCCCCGCACCCAAACAGCAAAAGCAGTAGAAGAAACTTCTATATACATAACCAGTGCATCTCTATCCTCACTGATGCTGCTGCTGCTGCTGCTGCTGCTGCTGCTGCTGCTGGAGGCCTCAAGCCCACTGCTGCTGCTGCTGCTGCTGCTGCACTTTCCTTCTCTTCGCAGCCGTATCAGCCGCTCATTCCCATACAAGAACTCAAGCAGTATGCAGGGGCCCCCTTCGGGGGTGGGGGGCCCCCCGTCTCTCCCCCCAGGGGCCCCCGGGCCCCCCTGGCGAGCAGGCTCTGGCAGCAGCAGCTGCAGCTGCGTGATGGAGGCCCCTGGGCCCCCCAAGCCGCACGAGAGGAGACGAATGTGGGCCCCCCGGTCCTCTACAGGGGCCCCCTCAGCTCTAGGGGGCCCCCAGGGGCCCCCTATAATATACTGCTTTGGGGTACCTGCAGCAGCAGAAGCAGCAAAAGAGCAGCGGTGCTGCAGCGACAGCAACTCTAATGCGTCTAGAGAAGGAAACTCAAATTTCGGTGTAAACAAATACCCTGTATCCTTCAAGCATTGCTGCACCCTGCTGCTGCTGCTGCTGCTGCTGCTGNCTGCTGCTGCTGCTGCTGCTGCTGCTGGTGCTGGTGCTGCTGCTGCTGCAGCTGCGGTGATAAGCGGTGGCAGAGGAGAAGGGGGCAGCAGCAGCAGCAGCAGCAGCAGCAAGGCCCCTGGTGCTGTCTGCTGTCTGTATAAGGAGATATATAAAGTGAAGGAGACAGCAGAGACGGCCCCCATGCAGCGCATGCAAAAGGAGACAGTCGAGCGCCAGAGCCACAGCCCCCCAGGCCCTCTCGCTGCTGTCTCCTCCGTGCTGCTGCTGCTGCTGCTGCTGCTGCTGCTGGTGGTCTGGGGTGTCTGCACAACTCTGCTGCTGCATGCACTGCTGCACCTGTCGCTGAGCCTCTCGCAGCAGCAACCGCAGCAACGCCCCCATCTCTTTGTGTGCTGCGCTGCTGCCGCTGCAGCAGCCAGAAGACTCTATATGTTCCTCACTATCTACACCCTGACCTTCTGCTGCTGCTGCTGCTGCTGCTGCTGCTGCTGCTGCTGCGTTTCTACTGGGGCCCCCCAACGCTGGGGGTAAACAAGACAGCAGCCTTTCCCTCGCCGCATGCAGCAGCTGCAGCAGCACCTGCTGCCGCATGCCCCCCTGCTGCAGCGCCAGCCAGGCCCACAAAGAAGCATTTGATTCTTGCTGCTGCAGCAGCCCCAGGCTACCGAGCAGCAACTCCCCCCCTGCTTCCAGCTCTCTCTGCTGCTGCTGCTGCTGCAGCAGCAGCTGCTGCTGCTGCTGCAGTGGAGCCCCAGCACCCCACAGCGCCCCCAGAGAGCGGTACGGCATCAGGCCGTTTGCTGCTGCTTGCATGCACCGGTCCTCCAAGCTAAGCCCCCCTTCTGCACCTTTCTTGCTGCTGCTGCTGCTGCTGCTGCTGCTGCTGTCTGCAGCAACGCCGGAGCTCAGTGCTGCTGCTGCAGAGACAAGAGACTGCAGCTGCAGCCGCAGCGGCTGCAGCGCCCGGGGCAGCCCGCCAGCAGCAGCAGCAGCAGCAGCAGCCGCGTTGCCTACAGACACAGCCAGACAGTCTTCCAATGCAGGAGCTGCTGCTGCTGCTGCTGCTGCTGCTTCTGCAGCAGCAGCAGAAGATCCACCTGGCTCCTCAATACGCAGACGGCCGCTGCTGCNGCTGCTGCTGCTTCTGCAGCAGCAGCAGAAGATCCACCTGGCTCCTCAATACGCAGACGGCCGCTGCTGCAGTTTTCAGCAGCAGCAGCAGCAGCAGCAGCAGCACCAATCAGCAAAGGCTGCGGGGACAGCCATTCTATAGACAATGCAATGGGGTCTTCTTGGGTCTCCTCCGGCGCTGCAGCTGCTGCTGCTGAAGCTGCTGCTGCTGCTGCAGCTGCAGCTGCTGCTGCTGCTGCTGCTGCTGAAGCGGCTGCTGCTGCTGGAGGTGCTGTGACTGCGGGAGTTGCTGCTCGTGGCGTTGCTGCCGTTGGAGCTGCTGCTGCTGCAGCTGCTGCTGGGGTCGCCGCTGCTGCTGCTGGGGTTGGTGGAGCTGCTGCTGCTGCTGCTGCTGCTGCTGGTGCTGCTGCTGCAGTCGCAGGTACCTGTGGGGCCTCTGCTGCTGCAGCCTGCTGCCGGGGGCCCCTTGGGTGCTGCCACAGTGAACGCAGCTGCTGCTGCCGCCCCCCAAACAGCCGCAGCAGCTGCTGCAGCTCCCTGGGGTCAGCAGCAGTCTGATGCGCGATGCTTCTGCTTGCTCCATCGCGCTGCTGCTGCTGCCCCTGCTCCTGCTGCACCAGCTGCTGCTGCTGCTGCTGCTGCTGCTGCTGCTGGGGCAGCCAGCCGTCTGCCCCCAGGTGTAAAGGGAAGGCATCCACTGTGGGGCCCCCAAACTCCCCTTCTCCGCTTCCTAGCAGCCGTTGCTGCTGCTGCTGCTGCTGCAGCCGCTGCTGCTGCTGCAGCAGCTGCTGCTGCCCCGCAGCAGCACCGCGCAGGGGCCACGGGGGGCTGTTGATAGATGCAGCAGCAAAAGAGGAGACAAGGAGACGGAGGAGACAAAAAGATAAATGAATTTCCTCGATCATCAGAAACGCATGCAAACCACCAAAATAAGAAAACATAAAACTGCTCTGGTCACCAGCAGCAGCAGCAGCAGCAGCAGCAGCAGCAGCAGCAGGGTCGCTCGATGCTTTTGCTGCTGCTGCTGCTGCTGCTGCTGCTGCTGCTGCTGCTGCTGTAGACCCCATCATACTGAGGCGTCTGCGGTACCCTCTAAGAAGACGAGAGGCCCCCTCTAGCACCGCTGCCTCTGCCTGGGGTGTGAGGGGCCCCTGGGGCCCCAGGGGCCCCTGGGGCCCCAGGGGCCCCTGGGGCCCCAGGGCCCTGGTGCGGCTGAGGAGGGTATAGCAGCTGAATGTACGCAGCGCTGCTGTTTGTAGAGAGAGAGAAGAAGGAGACAGAGGCGGAGAAGAGCAGCAAGCAGCAGAAGACGCAGACGACATACCCACAGGGGGCCCCCCAGGGGCCCCCCCAGGCAAGAGGGGCCCCTCAGGGGCCCCTGCAGGTAAGAGGGGACCCTCAGGGGTCCCCAGGGGGGCCCCAGGGGGGCCCCCAGACCCACCTAGGGCCCCCTCATGCGGGTGAGGGGTCGGCGCTGGTGGGGGCGGGGGCCCCCCGGGGTCCATTGCAGCGGAGAGACGATGAGGAGGAGCTGCTGCTGATGCACTGCTGCTGCTGCTGCTGCTGCTGCTGCTGCTGCTGCTGCTGCAGGCGGTGAGAGACAGAGACAGAGACAGAGAGGAGAAGGGGGGGGG